TATATATATATATGTACACATATATTTCGCATATGCATACACACATCTCTCCGCAAAATTTTAACATCCTCTAAATCGAAAGAAAAGCAAATTAATGTATAAATAAATACATTGGTTATAAAAAAAAAGTAAAGAATATGAAATTGGACTTGTACACAGAGACTTATTTTTATTCTAATTTCCTACAAAATTGTCTTTTCACGTAATTTAATTGAATTATTTATAGCAAATTGGACGTCAGAGTAATAACTTATTCGAAAAGGCGCGTATACTGAAATAATACAAGTATTTAATCTTATCTTAAATATATTAATTTACTTGAGGCAGCTGCGCTGTAATGGTTTTAACAGATAATTTACTTTCTCAAATCCGTATCAAGGAGAGTAAGACATTACATTTTCGTAGACCCTTTCCCCGTCTTTGAACGAAGCCGGCCTGTGTCAAAGTAGTCATTTAATTTTGAAAATGCTCGTAAAGACGTAATAGAATCGGTGCAGCATTTCTTGACAGTATTACGGACTTGCTAACGAATCGTAAAAATTATAATGAAAAATTTCTTTTGACAATTTTAGTACTGATCTTACTTAGTAAGGGTTTGACATATTTCGAAGAGTGAGGTTAACACCTCAATACCTATTTCACTGAGTGTGATAGGGGTGTATTTGGTCGGTTGTCGGTTTTTTTTTTCATCATTGTAATCTTTTGACGGCTTAAATTTGATTATATCAAAAAAAATCCGACTAAAAGGAACGTATCTATCTATATAAAATATAATATATTCTTATGTTTTAATATGATCCTTTGTGACCTTAATGTTTTTATTGGTGAGGTGACGTTTGGCTTGTATTATAATAAATTAATAACAGCATTTTAAATAGTTCTTACGATTCACGCGTGTCCTCGGAGTCTTACGGAATACATAAAATATTTTGTTGATATTAAATAAGTTATCATTATTTATCTTAATTTTATGATTATTCGCATTTCACTGCGTAAAGTTTAATCGGAATTAATATACACGTAATGCAATAAAGTATATGTAAATAAAATCAAATGATAGGTAACCATAGACAGTGGACATAGCCTATAAGCTATTGCCTAACTGCTAAGGGTCACGAGGTCAATTAATAAAAACCTACTTATATTTTATTTAGTAAATAACAATATTTATTTAAAAGTTAAATTGTAATAGTTAACGATTATTTATTATTTTATAGGAATGGTGTGCTTAAGGAACGTCCACTTAGTGGTGCCGGAGTCTGTGGAGCGCGGTTCAAGGGTGGAAATGAGATGCCTATACGATTTAGAGCAAGAGGTCTTGTACACAGTGAAGTGGTACAGAGGGGATCGGGAGTTCTGCCGATACTCGCCGCGGGATGTTCCCCCGTTGAAGATATTCCGAATTCCCGGCATAGATGTTGACGTAAGTACGCTACATACAAACAAGTTTAAATGTATATTGAATCGGAACGCCAATAGCTTAGTGGTTAAGGTTACGGAACTCAAATGAAGAGGTCAAGAGTTCGTATCCCAGCATTCAATTATGGTCGCGAACTATGTAGCACAAGTCTACAGTTTAGTTGGAATGGATACAAGAAATATTAACAAAAATCAGGTAACATTTTCATCTTCTAAAGGAGTTTAAAAATAATTATATTAAATCGTGTAATAAAACAAGTTGTTGTTTGATTGATTTATGTATTCGGTGAGGAAATATTCTATATTTAACATTTATTAATTTTCTTCACGCTTAAAAATAATAAGACGTCGAATAAAATTATTTCAACGTGAATTTTCAAACACCTTGAAGTTAGTCCTAAATAAACAGCAATTCCCTAAAATATTAGCTTTGTCAATCTATCGTCTCTAAAATGAAAGATGTGTTTTTATAATAATTATATCATAAATTCCTTTTTCGCTTTCATTTTACGCTTTATTACTTCTGACCTTATATTTGTAATTTAAAGCTATATTTGATCCTATTTTTACCCAACTGTTTTTGGCGAGTAGGTAAGTTTTTTTTTAATTATGCTGATTCGTATGTTTGTAAAATCCACTGTGATGTCTATAAACAAAGGTCGCTTTGCGATTTAGGCAAATAAACGTGACCACATGCAGGTTGGCTACTTTTTGAGATAAAAATATGTACATAAGTATTCAGTGGCATTATGAATGCCACTGAATACTTAGTTTCTAAGTTAAACATAAGTGTCACCGATATTTCATCTAGATTAAAGACGAGAATTTGCATTATCTTAGTACCTTTGAGATTAAGAGAGTACACGGTGAGTTACTTACAAGTTTGAAGGACCTTTAAGTTCAATTACATTACTTAAGTCTTACCTTATTACTTGCACAAGGCCTTGACCGAACTTTGGCGTGTCTTAGTTATGTTTACCTTGACGATTTAACTTAAATATGAATTCTGTAGTTATACGCAACTTATGATATGGTTTGTTATTATAATAAATATAATTAAGGTGCACTTATCGTTGGTTTCTGAGACCAAAATCACTATATATAATATATCGTCATCCCTGTCATTATCTTTGACAAAACAGAGATAACAATATATTTTAAATTAAAATTATAGCCTTAGAAACCCATTTAAATATAGTAAAAATGACAATGCTACGCACCATTATAATATTAATTTTTCGTTTACTCTTCATGTAGCTCTATAACTTTCCAACAACAAAAATAAAGCACTACAAGCCAACATTTAAGAGTACACAGAGACATAAAATCAATTACTTTTATAAGAAACTATTTCACTATTTATTTAAAGAATGAGACTACGATATGAGGTTCATGTTCTTATATGTACGTCGCAAAATGAGGTTATGTAATAATTTGCTTGCGGATATTATAAGGTATTCCGTATTCCCCTCGCCTTTGATGACATGCAGAAATTTAACGATCCTTTCAAATGATACATCGCTAATACAAATATATAAGCTTCTATATATTGAACTCGGATCACGGTAAAATCAATACCGATTGGCATTTCCTTCTAACAGAGATTATTTTGTCGCAAATAAAAGTATACCATTATCTAAATTAAGTACGTAGCAATGTGTTTAGGTTCCTTTCACTTTGATTTTCGCGTACTTTCAAAGTTTGATTGAAATGAAATTTGGCACAATTAACAAGTTAAAATACAACACAATGTTTTAATCATTTTTGACTTGTAAAAAAACATTTAACTTTTGCGGTAAATCTGATATGATGATTGGAATTAGTCAAGTAACATAATCAAATAAAGTTACTCGACTTATTTTTGCCTTTTTGTACCTTGAAATAATCATACTATCATTCACCATCAGCTCACTACCTGAGGGGCTCGGAGGCTACTCTAAGTTAGGGGTGACTAGGCCATAGTCAACCACGCTGGCCAAGTGCGGGTTGGTTGACATACTATCATACTAATGTTATAAATGCGAATGTTTAGATGGATGGATGGATGGATCTTTCTTTGAAGGTGTCTCCAGAACGGCTTAATGGATCTCAATGAAATTTGGCATACATATAGAGCATAGTTTGAAAGAACACATAGTCTACTAAATATCTTTTTTTTTATACCGTGCGAACGGAGTCGTGGGCGACAGCTAGTAAGGAATATATATTCGGAATTAGCTGCTACTCACAATTGGGAAAACTTTTGTTGAAAACTGAGCAATTGGAATAGATCTAATTAAATTACTATAAAGTCACACTGTCACACTACGCCGTTCCCGATGCTGTGGTTTTAGAAACTATAATTGGATATGCTCCCAGATCAAGAATTTAGTTCTTTAGCTCTATTTTGTGTCAAATATATGTGATTTTCTCTAACAAAATTAAGTGAATCAAATATTACTGGTAATGGAAGAAAATTCTGTATAATCTTTGAACAGTACAGCTTTGTTAAACATTAATTTTACTAACTCCGTATCACTTGGCACGAGTAGTATAAAATTTTTATCACGATAGGTTTAGAGGTGGAATTTATTTCGGACATCCGTACAATAACAATAAATAATAAAAGATTTTTTATACTACCAATTTTATCTATTAAGTTCTATAAAAAATGTCGTATTCTCATTTAATTTGAAAAGTTTGTTGTAAGTTAAGAAGATGTTTGCGTAACTACGGACAAATAATTCTCTACTATCGCAGCCGCTGTTCGTCTCGAAGTCAGAATAGGACTAAAGGGACCAACTTGTTTTAATAAAGATATAATATGTCCGATAGGATTAGTTACGGTCCAATTAGACGTAGATTATTAAAGTCTGCTGTTGTAAAATAATTTGCCAAATATTATCCGAGAAATGAAGGTTATGAGAGAAATTTCTCAGATTTTTAAGACTCCATTTCATACAGTTTTCTGTTGCATTTATTTTGTTTTGTTTTTAAATTATTTAATTATTATTAGAAAAGGCTTATACGTATTTTTTCGCATTACATTAAATATTAACAATTCTTTATGTTGGAAATATTTTCAATAGTGAGATAAAGTGTTATATAATTTTGTGATATGAATAGATTAATGTTTGTTTACAAAGTTTATAACTAAAGTTTAAATAAACTATGATTATATTTGATTCTTAAGTAGTTTAAAAATGCCTATACAATTACACCAATGTCATTTGTTTAAACAAAGAACACAACTCTTTTAGTAGTCTTTGAGGCACGCAATAATATTATGACTATAAATAGTCTGACTAATATTATAAATGGGACAGTTTAGATGGATGGATGGATGTTTGAAGGTATCTCCGGAACAGCTCAATGGATCTTTATGTAATGTATCATAGATGTAAAACATAGTCTGAAAGAACAAATAGGCTAGTTATTAAGTTGTTTTTAATCCCGTGCGTACAGCCCGTGGGCGACAGGTAGTGTTAAAATAATCCCAAATACTATGTTAATATAATATTATGTTATTAGTTACATTTTTTTGTAATTAAGTCAGTGCGTTCGTCGTATATTCTTTGTTATTTTAGGAGTTCTTCGCACTTAATAAATATCTTAAACTCGTAAACCACACTTGTGGTGAACGAGTAGTTTCATTAACTCTAACGCAATTTCTTACCCTCTCGCCGGTTCACAACTCTTTTCGCTGTCATGAAATAAAGTATAAAGAATTAATTTTGTTTCCCACTAAAGATCGCATGTCGTACAACGTACTGTCAACATAAGAACTATGGTTTAGTTTCTATGTGTATTGCTAAGACGAGTTTGCAAATTATATTTATGGGTAGGAAATAAAAATCCTTGACTATAACTAATAGGTTAAATGCCGCTATAATTTTTTCTTATCCAAATCAAATCTTAGTACGAGTCGATGCCAAAGGATGTATTAATTTTATTTTTTTATGAAGCCAAAGTCTTAAAAATGTTCTTCTCTCTATTTGCGTGTATAACTAAACATCTTTTGCAGTAACTCTTAAAGTAGGGATTACATTTTCCATTACTTTTACGGAAGTGGACGACGGTTACGTCCGACCCGGACAAAAGATCCTAACATTTTTGTATTTGCATTAGGAACAATAACGAAATTATACCTTCTATTTTTTTAACCTTATATCATTTGAAACATGAAAGCATTTACACGCTTGGATTATATTTTTTTCTGTGGTAAATTTTGATACATTTGATTTCCATCCTTGCTCAAAATTACTGTGATTAACGCGTTAAAGGTTTTTTACAAATATCTTCTGTATTATACACATTTTGTTATGTTTGTCATTTATAAAATATTATTGTTGATGTAAAAACATAATAAAAACATTTATAAAACGAATTATAACAAAGTAGAAGTATTACGCAAAACATAGTTATAAAGTGTTCCCTTCCACGTATTATCTTCTTGATTTATTAAGTCGCGGTGTTTGTATGCATCCACTTAATAGTAATATCATAATAGCTTTGTATCTCTTTGTTTCACGGAATGTTACGTATATTTTGCTATAATTAAAAAAGAAACTCGTTACATTTTAACTAATTTAATGTAGCGCTAATAGCTTAATGGTTAAGGGTACTGATTTTCGATCACGTGGTAGATAGTTCGAATCCTGCTATTCAACTATTGCCGTAAACCGTAACCTAAATATTTCCATCATAATTTAGCATTAATTCCTTAACGGCCGTAAGGCAGTTCTTCTCAAATGTCCATAGGTATCGTTGATCACCCCGATGTTCCTACCGATTGCCAACTTCCCTTATAAAAAAATGCCACAAATCTAGAGCTTAGTTGGAATGTTACAAAAAGTATTTGTTAATAAACAAAAATTTGATAATGTTTTAAATAAAAAAATACAAAATTCCAAACTATCTCATATCTTATGAATATCTTTATATATATAATTCTTCTGTGAGTGTGTATATCACTGAACTTCTCTCAAACGACTGGACCGATTTTGATGTAATTTTTTGCGTGTGTTCAAGGGGATCTGGGAACGGTTTAGATTCACAATTTTGTCCGCTGGACAATGTTTTTTTAATTAATTTTTAATTTATTAGTAGTTGTTGATTTTGGAATGTTTTACATTGGATCCGACAGACGGCGCTACCATCGCAGTGTCAAATTTTAAATAATATTCGAATTTTAAACGTCAATTCAATTTTTTAACGTCACGACAGGACGACGTCTGTCGGGTCCGCTAGTAAATGATATAAATTATATAGGTCTATAATAAAGTAAGTCAGATTAAAAAAAACTCTAACATAGACTAATACCTAAATTTTCTATCCATTAAGATTTTAACATGATTATCATATCGCGATCATATTTTCTTGGTATTTCGTACTACGATTTTTAAAAGTTTCGAAAAAGTCAAAAGCACTTTCCCTGCGTAGTCTAGAAAGTAGATTATATCTAGACAGCTAAAAGTATTCAGTTAAAACTTTCAGTATTAGGAAAAAAATACTTTTTATACAGTTTTTTTAATATACATTTATTATCTATCAAGCAAATGTATACTAGCCAAACCTTTTATGAAAATTATAAAATAGCAACCTCATCATACGTAATTGTAGAAATGATATAAAAAACTATGTTAATTATAGGTCAGATTGAGGACATAATACTATATGAATACTTTTATTTAATAAATGTAATTTTTATTTTGATTATTAGCCTCGCGATGTCACATGCGTGTGGTACGTTATAGCATCTTTCGATGCATGACGTAATACAAAAAGATAAGAACAAAATATAAAAAATTAAATATTCCGTCACACTACGCGAACTTAGGACGATAAATCATGTCAAAATATATCCAAACAAAATGTTCAGATTTATTTTATTAGTAAGTACATAACTAACTGTTGCCCGGGACTCCGTCCGGTCGGTATTAAAAGAATACTTAATACTATGTTCTATATATAGCCGTTCTGGAGATACCTTCTAACAAACATCCATCCATACATCCAAACATTCGCAATTATAATATTAGTAAAATTAAAATAATCTGCCACATTACGGAGACTTAGGACGATAAATCAAGTCGATATATCCAAACTATTCAGATTGATTATATTACTAAGTTCACAATTATAAATAACAATTTTAGATATTATTTAGTACAAGTTAACTTAGCGTATCAAATTTAAAAACGTTTACATTTTACTAAGCAACAGTAACTTTAAACAAGCTTCAATTTCGTCAGAGAAATTAAAACCGCCGGAGCCGTCGAATATTTGGTTTCAATTGTATTCGGACACTAATTGCAAGTATTACTTTAACAATATATTTCTGTGAAATAAATAGAAAAATTTATATATATATATATATATATATATATATATATACTTAACTAGGATAAAACATTTTACCTTACGTTATAATAAAATGTTACTATAAGATTAGGTATATAATAAATTGAAGTGAAGGATTCAAGTTACATGTACAGTCAGCTACATAAATATGTATACATTTATAAAATATTAAAAACCTGTGTAGACCTTCCATTTAAAAAAATATGTTTGCTCTAGACATCTCAATTAATTTATACTATTGATAAGTTGCTTAATATTTTAGAAACTAAAGGCCTATACAAGTTTGTTTGTTATGTCAATGTATACATGTTTCTGCAGCTGACTGTACAGTGGTTATTGTACCGTTAAAAACAAATTCGTATTATAATTTATTTTTGTGAATATTAATGCATATCACAATAAAAATATTCGCATTTGACGACAACTGGTGTATGTGACGTTTAAACTCTGTTTGTTGACAGCGGGAAGCGACGGATGCGCAGCGTCTGTCTATACAAACGGCGACGCGCACGGCTAACGGGCGCTACACGTGCGAGGTGTCCGCGGACGCGCCCTCCTTCCAGACCGCGCAGGTACATGCGCACATGTATGTAGTCGGTGAGTATTAATTGACCAACATTATGATAATTTCACATGAGTCCACATTGAAGCAGAATAGTCGACAGTGCAGCACTGCTGGTGTTTGACCGCACACTCACTGTTATTTTTTGATTGCGTGGTATTATACTTACGATTAAACGACGGTACACGGTAAAGTTAGGGTATACATAGAATATCCCTGTACGGACACGAGTATGAACATAGACATTTATGTCGTAGACGAATAGTACCTTAAGTTGAAAATAAAACCCGATCGTCAATTTTTAACAAGCATTTATTATTGTGTGGTCAACTGATGTGATACTTGTGAGTGTGTGTGTGTGTATGACATATGTTGTCAAAGATATAATTCTCTTTGAAAATAACAGTGATAACAATATGTTTCAATACAAGTATCACGACTGTCAAAACTCACAGTGAGTTTCGCCGGTGTCTCAATTACATTGAAACCTTCGAATATAAGAAACACAATTGAAATAAAACAAGTTAAAATATAGTTATTGATCTGGGTCACTGTAGAAAATTATAATTCCTTTGTCGCAACACTCGATATTGACGCATTTATCCGTTCAAATTGACATTGCAGTGTTGCCGCGCAAATCCTGTGAGCATCTACTCCGAAATCGTTTCATTTACCTTTATGTCAAACAAATGTGTTGAACGTTCATTTGCTAGGTTTGTGCGTGGATGTGAATAGATTGTGTGGTTTTTGGGGGTTCGGAGAAGCACCCGTCGAGGCGAGTACCGTCAAATTTAAGTTCGGAATATGTTCATGTATCTATAAAAGTACTTTTGGTTTTTATTCAGAGATATATAATTATTTACTTTGCTGTAATATATCTTTCACTGGGTAATAGCGTTAGTTTTATACATATATCGCAACCTTTGGGGGTCAATCTTTGTTTAGGATTTTGAAGTATAAGTGTGCAAGGAATTTATGCTTATTTTCGTCGTACTTTTAATAACCAAACGCTAACCATTACAAGTAACTGGACTGAGGAGTGTATTTTTGTCGGTGTGTCGAAGTTGTTAAGATCGGGAATTTATTAGGGGGTTCGTGTTATAAAAGTGACGAAATACACTGCTTTAGATAATTTCATTTTACGTGTTACGTGGGTAGTAACGTAAGTAACGTTCCTTTCCCCGTAACTATATTTGATAAGTTAATATTTTTAGATATTTTGATATAAATATGTGAAATATCAATACGTGGCTTCAGTCCTACTGGCAACGATCCATTACAATCTTCTAAGATTGCATGCGCTTCTAGTTTTAGAACTGTTTCTTGGATGTGCACCAAATCTTTATAAATCACTGCACGAAATTTTCTAGACTTTTAAGAAAATATGAGTTAAATTATCAAATAAATCATACACATTTTAATAGTAAACGTAACAGTTTTTTTAACCACGTTTCATCTGCAAAGTGAAAAGTATCAGGTGGCCCCTCTCTAGTACCATCTGTTGAATTTCCCAGTTTTAAGTCGTCTATTATAATTTTATTTTTGTTATTAAGATATGTTTTTGTTGCAGATTTACCACAATCCGGTCCAGAAATGCAAGGCTTGAATCAATATTACCGAGCGGGGATGAAGCTCAAAGTGGAGTGCTCCAGTCACAACTCTCTGCCGGCAGCTAATCTTTCCTTTTTTATTAACAGTGAACCGGTAAGTTTCCATAAAGATTTTAAAGTTTTTTTTTTCTTGAAAATTACTGCGGGCTTTGAACTATTCCGCAACACGAAATACAGCTTTTTTATTTTAGCTGGATAAAAATATGGTCTAACATTTTTATAAAGTCATTACATTGTTAAGGTTTAAATGCTTTAAGTGAAATAGCTTAGCGTTTTAACTTAAACGCATATAGAAATTTGAATACTTTTAATAACTACTTAAATATTTAATTTATTGTGTGCAATAAGTAAAGCATAAAAGTAAAGAGAACTCTACAATTTGCAATTACTTACCAAAACAGTAAGTTTAATACTTAAATCGATAAGCGATAATTTAGTATAATTTCCAAACAGTTATGATCTTCAAGAAATGAACGCATTTTCAGTTCCTCTGGCATTGCGGGTTTCCACGAACGTCAGATGAAATAATTTTAGGCGATCCGATGTTCGTTTGCTCCTTCACCTATATAAAAAAAGTAAGCAATTGTTTATATTTGCAGGCTCACAAACAGCACGTGTGGCATCGAGTGAGCCCCGCAAACGGTAGTTTATGGAACGCCTACAGTACAATACAGTTTGTTGTACAAAAACATCACTTCATAAGAGGAAAAATGAAAGTACGTCACAATATTCAATACAGCAATACTTCTTACAAACAATAGATATAGGAAGGTTTGGATTCTTATTATCACGTATCTTCAGAAGGTCTAAACGAATCTGTATAACATTTGAATAGTGCATAGTCAATTTAGTTGTTAAATATCACGCGGACGTAGTTGCGGGCGACAGCTTGTAAGATATAAAATCAATACATAACGGATTCCCAATGATATTCCAGAATTAAATGAGACATTTATTTCCATATTTAATTTGGTTTCGTCTCTGTGTCGTATACGAAATGAACGAAAAAAGTGTTTGCAAGTCATCTTCAGCTAAAGATTAATTATAGATTAATGTCGTATAATTAGTAGATTTAAGGCAATAATAATAAATGAACGACTTAAGCAAAAAATGTCTATATTGTCACTTTTGAATACCTTTCAATCATAGCGATTGCCTATTTGCCTTGAACGTATTGTAAATTTGATTTCAATGTGATACAAATACCTACATATCCGTTCGATTTGACTTTATTTGTTATCGATAAAGACGAGTTTCGTTTCGCAAAGAGGAAGGAAATATCAACTGCTATTGTTGCATAATCTTTGCTTAGAAAATAGGACGCGCTGTTTGTCTTAAAAGATTTACTATCTGTGACGCCCCAAATTGTTTACTTGAGGGTTGCGTACCCCTCGAATATTCACCATTAGTCTCCACAAACATCCCTGAATATTGATATAATATTTTGATGCTCTTCATGAATATTACGATAATGTAAGGACTTATTCTTATAAAAATTATACAAAATATATTATATTAAAAATAGAGCACCACTGGCTGCGGAGTTCCATGACTCAAACAACCAGTGGTCAGGGCTGCAGAGACAGGAACCTTAAGGAATTAGTTTAACTAATAACACTATCGTTGATAAGTATACTAGCTTTTACTAGGCTAGGTCCAGGAGAGTAAAATCTCTACAAAGTAAATTTTAGTTTGTTGTATCGAGTTTGAATTGTTAAAAGTTTCATGAGACATTATTATAAACTAATTGAAAACGGCTTCATTCGCGGATTAGTTAGTGTTACCGAATACTTTCAAGTCCGAATGGACCTATTATCAAATTGAACATAGCAACATATTTTATTACATTTGACTTATATATTTTAATTTCTGTTTAATACAGGGTTTCTTCGTAAACCGAAGAATTCGGAAAGTCTACAAAGAAACTAATATAGTGGATATTTTCGTACAGAATGAAACTTTTTTGTATCCGCAAATAGTATAACAAAACCTAGAGCTCCAATAAAGTAAAATATCTCTTATAACGTGAAACAACTCAATTTATTTCTATTTCTTTTTGTATCAATTCATACAAGTTATAGTGAGAAAATGTTAACTCTCGTTGAATATAAAGAGTAGGGACAAAGGCAACTGAAACAAAAACAACCGTTTTGTGCAGGTGGCGCTGTTGTCACTATCAAATGCATTCCGAAAACAGTTGTTTGAAACCGTTCCAAGGTGCAAAGTCCCTTTGAATAATAGAAATATACACGTGGAATATTCATTTAAAATATTTATTTATTTTTGAAACACACATACACTGAAGTGCGATTGTTCATGTTAACAATCCCACTGTATAAAATATTGCTATCTCTTTTTATTCCAAGAAAAAAGGATGATAATATATTTTTGTAGATACATTTGAAACTCAGATTAATATGTTCATGTTATTATATTATAGTAGAAGTAATTTGTAGCCGCCTTTCGGAAATAATTAAAATTTCGTACCAAATTATATTTAAATTCCATACATTTCTAGAAAGTAAATTATAAAAGTCAACATTTTACACACTTCTTACACTTAAAAAAAAACAAATTAAAATTTTTAATTACTTATTTAATAATTTTTAATATTTAGATCCGGTGCACGGCGAACATTTACTCTATATATTTAAAAAGTAATGAGCAATGTGCTCTGGAGGAGCGCCTGCCCACTACACCGGTCAGCCTGCCTGAGATGAACGAGGTCATCTTGTATCCCATACATCGTATGGCTGATACCGCTGACAGTAAGTATACTTAGTTAATTTGATATGACGTAACGCGGACTGAAAGTATAATACATTAATTAATATTCCGGCAACTAAAGTACTTATTTAGTGGAACATCTACATGTTATCGATCGATTATAAAATAGGCGTATTTGTGATTTGACTAGATAAAGTGCTATTATTTCTAAAAGCAAAAATCATTGTTTGCTGTTAATTAAGTAACAATATTACTATTGTTTTTTTTCGTAATTTGGAGATTTGTTTTTGAATTTGGTTTAAATTAAAAAAAAATACGCAAACAATTTCATTACACGTACATATTTTAAAAGAAAGCTTAAAAGGTCATTGCCCTGCTTTAATTTTTTCACTTTGCTTATCGTAATTTTTTGACAGCGAAATAAATGCTATGCATTATAATTATTTTTACTCGAAAATACACAATTTGTAGAGAAAATTAATTCTTCATTTAGTCGATTAAATAATATAAAAACTTTTATTACTTTGAAAGGCATCATTTGATAACGTCCAACATAATTTTTAATAGAATTTCTTTTATTTTAATAAAATGGTCGATTCAGTTAAGTTATTTAAGCAATAAATATGTAAATTAAAGAATCTAACCGAATTACTTGAACTTTATTCGTGAGATCGCAACGATAGCAACTTCAAGTCACAAATCATTGGTTCAGGCCTTAAGCCAATAATTTGCGACTATTAAGTCTGCGAATTTAGACAATGGACACATTTTGAAGCAATAAGAACTTTATACCAATGAAATAAGATATGTTTTGGCATGTCATAAATATATCTTACATAACAAAAATCAGTACATTATTCTGTTTTCTTTTGCAGGTGCCGACAAAATTCATGGATCTTCGCTTTTTGTGTTATTGATTGCTATCTGGCATTTCACACATTTAATTGACGCTAATTAACGTTTATGGGACAGTACATAGCTAGATACAATATTAAAGTGTTCCATGTAATTAAATTAACTACGGACTCTGGTGTTTCTACGACTGAAAGGAAAAATACTTCATTATATCTGAATTGTTATTACTCTGTAGTTGTGCCAACCCGAATTTAATATATTCCATTAAATGGAACGTACACATTTTTATTTTATTTTATTTATATGTTCGAATTTCAAATTGACCGTATTATTGGAATGGCAACAACATAAGTAAATTTAATCGATCAGTATCGATCTAAGTTAAATATTTTTATACTTACGATCTCACAAATTGATGTATAGACAAGGCAAAAGCTAATACACCTTAACAACCTTCTGTTTCATATTATGTAAAATTTGTACATAGACTTGTAATCAATTATTATAATGACTAGGCAATTATATTAATGATTGTTGGAGCCGAAATACCCGTACAAAAATATTACATTCTCTTTTTATCCCTTGAAGTATGAGAGGGAACAATGTTTTTGAACTAAATTATCGGTTAATTTATTTGTTGATAGAAAAAGAAAAATAAACAGCGTCGGTAGCTCAGGATTCAAGCACTTGACTTACAATCTGCAGGTCCTTACGATGAAGGAAAATATTGTGATGCAACCTGCACATATCTCAGAAGAAATTCAAGGATATGTGTGAAGTCAACTATCCCGCACTTGGCCAGCGTGGCTGACTATGGGCTAGTCACCCTTAACTTAGGGTAGGCACCGAGCCCCTCGGTGGGGACGTATAGTGAGCCGATGATGATAGAAAAAAATAGTTTTTTAATGTATCATTGTTTTCTTTCATGATAACTTGTCTATATGTTAATTTGATCTGATAATAAATAAAGCTTTTTATTATTTACAAAATGTTTCTTCTGTAATTTTTTGCTCAATTAAATTTATTTTACAATTTAATGTTTTAATATTTGTTCGTTGTTTTTAAAATTAGCATAATATATGAACTTTCCAAAACATAATTTTGTTATGACGAAAATAAAAAGGGAAAATATATTTAAAACAATTCGTGGAATAATTTTATTTAAACACCCCGTATCATTCATATTATCGTCAATGAGATTTATATTTTAAATTAAAATTTTCACAAACTCTACCAATCCGCAAAATATGTTTAGGAAAATATGTACGTCTTCTTTATTAGTACCACCAGTTGCCAACGACTACGTCCGCGCAGAATTACTGAATCTAGTTACCCAACAGTGAAATAATTTTTAAAATCGGTTAACTAGTTTCGAAGCGTATTCAACACAAACAGACAATCAAATCTTTCCTGTTTCTTATCCTCATATAAAATTCTCGTGTCACAATGTTACTTACCATACTCCTCCGAAACGGCAGACCGATTCTTATGAAATTTTATAAGCATATTCAGTAGGTCTGAGAATCAGCTATTATCTGTTTTTTTAATCCCGCGCGGACGGAGTCGCGGGCGACATATCTGTCGCCCGCGACTGTATTAGTATGGAAATACTTATGCACCAGGAAATATTTATGAGAAAAACGCGTCAGAGAAATGCCGGTTCATCGAAAATACTTATTCACAATATATATTTGTAAAAGTGAGTGTCTAAAGCTCTTTGTAAGATTATTTTTGTTTATTGATATTCTCCGCAAAGTTCCTCGAAAGTCTAAAGTTTAATCGAAAACCTTTGTGGTGGGAAATGAAAAGGGTACGACAGTTTTATCCATTCAATGACTTTCTTTTCGCATACTGTCAAACTCTTATAAAAAGGTAAATATATTTTACATATTTTAACACTAACGCACTCAACCAAAAGGAATTGATATTACGGTGTTATAACTTTCATAAATTTCCAGTTACCGGCATATTCAATATTGTATTAAAGTGCCAATATGGAACTTAAGATGGTAAATAAGTAAGCGGGCATATGAGTACGCCTAAATAACCAAGCAACCGCTGTCCATAGACATCAGCAATTGCAGATGCGTTGTCTACATTTAATCGTCAGAGGAGGGGACGCATAGAGAGAGGATACATCCCCTAGCGTCTCCTCTTCTGACCAATTCACTTCCCCTTCTCATCCCTTCCTAATGGGGACTAAATTAAATGACACGCATAATATTAAAAAAAAATTAAGTATAATTATGATAAGTATATCTTACTTATGAAATAATTAATGTAGTAAAGTAAAAATAAATGATGTCATATTAAGAAAATATTTACAGTTACATGATTGAAAACTCTGTTTGTCTGCAGCTGTACCGTCCGTACTAATTCGATTAGTGTAAATATAGTTTGTCAGTTGATGGATGACAGTTTGGTTTGGTATATTTGTAATTGTTTATCATATGTCATTTGTTAAGCTTAATTAAATTGTGTAAAATTATTATGTTACGATAATTCTTATTTCTTAATAATATATGCGAATGTTACGACGTATGTTTGTTAGAAGGTATCTTCAGAATGGCTCAACAGATCTTAATAAAATTTGGCACAGATGTACAACATAGTCTCGAAGATCACATAGGCTACTTATAGTGTTTTTTCTTATTTATTAAATAAATTCCACGCGAACCGATTAACGACCGATAGCTAATAGGAATATGAACTTGGAAGAATCATCTGTATACTAATACTATATTATAAAGATGCTGGCATCTGGCTGGCATTATAAATCTGGATTACGTGGTTTTTTTTTGCGCATTAATTAGGATTCGAACTTATTGAACCTTCTTTAAAAATTCTTTCCTTGTTGGGAAGTAACACTGTCCCTGATAACATAAAATGTTTATTATTATATTTATTTTAATTCTGCGCAGACAAAATCACAGGCAACTACTGATATTTTATATTTTAGTTAACCTGACATGTTTGATTCAATACAAGCCATTAGTATAATTGAAGGATTACACGTATAATATTAAATTTAAAATTAATGCTAAGACTTCTTCATTCATACTTTTACTCTTAAAAAAGATTTTTAATATTATTTAACTTATTTAATAAGGTTATTTTACGACATTAGAATAAAAGTAAATGACTTTATTTACAATATGTTGATTGAAAATAATAATCAAAACTGAAATATAAAGATAGGTATATGTAATTATTCAAAATAAATATAATAAAAATAGTTTTAAATTATATGATAGTAGATAAATATATTTAAACTAAGACATAAACTAATAATTTATACTATAGCAAATAAACTATATAGTAAAAGAAACCAAACTAAAAATAAAACTAAATAATGTAAAAAATCGACCCAAAATACGCTCGCGATGTGTTGCCCAAGAGGCTGACGACATTTTCCCGTTGAATGGCCATAGTGAAATAATCTATTACCATGTTTCTGGTGAGTAAAACATCTTACCGGTAAGTAACGGACCTGATTGACATGAAAGGGATAAACACAAAGGCTATCAAGTTGACTTGACATGAAGTCCATTGGCTATTTACTCCTATGTATTAAATATCTCGTTGATTATATCACAATAACAAAGTTATAGAGTAACATATCATGTATATTTATGAACATCAACATTATTAAAGTAATATACTAGATATTACTAGCCTTCGCCCGTGACTTTGTTTGCGCGGGATTGAAAAATAGATGGTAGCCTATTCTCAAACTCGCTGAATATCCAGATAAAATTTCATAAAGATCGGTGAAGCCGTTTCGGGGAAGTAACTAGTCGTGGTAACTAACATTCTTACACGAATATTTTATATATAAGTTTATGTTTAATAGAAAGGTTACGTAAGAATTGTACACAAGCAAATAGAAATGATCATAATTTATCTTATTGAATATGTCTTCTAATAACTTATGAAGGAAAACTTCAGATTTTCTCTGTTATTACTACTCAAAGCTTTACACGAATGAGTTCAAACCGTTTCACAATACAAAAGAGATTTCGCAGAACAAGATGTATTGAAGGGTACAAGTAAACGGGATTAGTAGACTTTGAAGAGAAATGGTATATTCGTTATCCTTTACTTATAAAAACATGGAAAGGGGAAGTGACTAGAATTTAGCCTTCTTTACGTCATCAGATAAAGCACGAAAATATTTTTACTTCACGCCTATCTTCTGTGTGATAGCGGCACAATAGTGCCGAGCGAGATTTCTTTGTGGCGTTCTCATTATGAAAATAATATATTAATCACGGTTTGGTGGGTACAAAGACGATATAAACAGAAAACAGTCGTAACAAAATTGCATCCGTCATATGTATGAGTTTGAAACACAACATTAAGTTGCGAGTGTCGTGTTCGCGACGTAATATATTTCCCCAACAAGTTTACAAGGCGGCTCTCTTCAAGCTTCATAGTAAAGGAACTGCATTCATCAGTTTCTTTTATGAACAGTTTTGTAGCGGCGAGAGCATTCACCGTGTACGACTCGACATTTCCTCTTGACATTTTCTTGTAATATTATGTTTTTTTTAATATAAGGAAAATAACTTAGAACTTCTCGATTAAACTTATAGTTTTTTTCTTTAGTTAGTTTACTTTTAAATATTTGCATTGTGAGGGTCAAATGACATTTTACCTAACGCAACCTAGGGGGTCTGAAATTAACGTTCTCTACTATACCTAATTGTATTTTATTGTTACATAATGTAATAATAGAAAATAAGGAAATTTTCCATCAAACAGTACACAACAGTAACTAGCTGCCGCCCGGGATTTCGCGCGGGATTATAAAAATAGTAGAAGACTTTGGTTTACATTTGTGCCAAATTTCATTTAGATCCGTTGAGACGTTCCGGATATAACATCCATCTAAAGTTTCGCATTTATAATTTTAGTAAGATTAAGATTATACATATGTAGTGGTAACTATTTAATTTCTTAGCAACGATAAAAATGGTTATAGCTATGAAATTCATAGTCGTCATGTCGATTTTGTCTGGTATTTTGGTGCTCACAAAAGAGTAATACGTCGCCGTCGCCATTATTGCCGTGACGTAGAGATCCAATTAAACAGAACTAGCACAGACAATGTGAGATTCCTCTCCTTCATATTTACTGAAAATGAAAGCTAAAATTGTCACTGTAAAACTATTAACATTGTCTGTACAAAATTCATTTTGCATCCATTAAATTATAATGAGTAAGTGATGAAAAGATTTATAATTAGAAATTCTTATTGTCAATATTTTAAAATTAGCTGTCAACGGTGACTTCGCCCGCGCGGTAATAAAAAAAATAATTAGTATCCCATGTCTTTTGCCAGACTGTGTTCTATATGTATGTCAAATTTCATCGAGATCCGTTCAGCCGTTCTGTAGATACTGTCCATCTCTATCCATCCAAACATTCGCATTTATATTATTAATATGAAGTATGATATGTATAGTATCTATGCGTATCGAATCGACAAATTGTGAATTAATGCATATAATTAAAACGGTTAGATTTATTTATAGTTTGAACACAATACTAAAAGATAACCTTTCGGTCACATACAATATGGCGCTAGTGACGAGACACTGATTTAATTTTGGGTACAGAACAGTTTGCTTCCGTATGATCTACATGGACGGCAACAGTCACTTTGAGTTAGCTCCAACATGCTTCCGCTTGCTTGCA